GCTCCCCCTCTGGTCCTCCCTGGGCTCCAGTGGAGACCAGGGGTTGGTGTCTAGATGTGGATTTATGTATAAAGCCTCCTCACCCCCAGCCACTGGCAGGAGGAGGAGTGTTGCCCAGGGCTGGTCACGAGGAGTCTTTGCTCTGAACAGCATGCGGGCAGTGCTGGCGCTCTCCTGGACTGCGGGCAGCCCTCCCGTACTCGTACTCGGGGCCTGCAGCCGGAGCCTGAAGGGGCTGCCCGGGAGGAACAGGAGGAGGAGGAGGAGGAGGTGGTGGAGGAGGACGAGGAGGAGGAGCAGGCATTTCAGGTCACTCTGGAGGACCTGGCAGGGCATGAAGGCAGCAAGAAGGGGTCTGGGCCAGAGCCCCCAGGCTCAGAGGAAGAGGAGGAGGAGGAGGAGGAGGAGAGCCTGGCAGTGGCGGAGCAGGTAGCCGACTTTGCCAGCTCCCTGCTGGCCGCCCTCCACTGCTGGCACTATCGGGCCAACGCTTTACTTTTCTCCCGGGGTGCTATGGTGAGGTGTCTCTTTGATCTCCCCTCCTCCTTGCATGTTCCCTGGCATGTGCAAGCCCATGCCCATCCTGGAGTCCCCTGCCCTGCCCTCTCCACCCCTCTGTCCTTCCTTTACTTCTGCCCTCAGCACTTCTTAACCCCTCACTCACTGTCACACCCTGGTGAGCCCCTGGCATGCACTGTTCCAGTCCTGGGCGTGGACTAGCATACCACCCAACGCGCATGACTAACGGGGTGGGGGGTGGGGAGGGGGGAAGGCAGCACACAGCAGGGCTGGAAGGGTCGGGAGGGTGGGGCTTTTCTGAGGCCGCATGCCTGGCGGGGACCAGTTCACGTTGACTGTGGAGTGGCTCCGGTCCAGGGCTGGCTCTCAGCAAAGCCCAGCCCCCTAGGCTCAGGAGGTGCTGCCCGAGTTGGGATGCAGAAGGGACCGGCTCCCAATTGTCCCGGGACCTGACGGCTGCCCTCTTGCTGCAGGGGAAGGGGCGCAGGGAGTCTGAAGGCCCCAAGAGCTGCAGGCGGCCCAGCGGCCGGTCTCCCACCTGTGCCGAGAAGCGCGTGAGCTTCGAGTCCATTTCTTCCCTGCCTGAGGTGAGGGGCCGGCAGGCGGGAGGGGGGTAATGCAGAGGTGTCTGCAGGTGGGGCTTCCAGGCATGGGCTCTCCCATAGGGCCCATGGGGACAGGACTCCCGCCCCTTCAGGAAACCTGTCTGGTCTGTGGGTGCCTGGCTTGGTGAGCAGACTGCCCCTTTCCATGAATCAGAAAAGGTGCCTGTGCCTTTGGGCAGATGTGATCCCTTGCCCAGAGGGCCACAGTCAGCAGAAGTGACCAAATTTTAGATCCCCTTGGCCAGGCCTCCTTGTGTAGGGCATACGGCCCTGTCCCTGCCAGGGGCCCAGACATTTAAATCCTACCTGTGCCCACTTGGGTGACAGGGTAGCATATTGACGTCCACTCGGTACTTCCTACATGTCTGATGTTTATTTCCTCTGTCTATTCCCTGCAACAGCTAAGAAAGGTTGGGTGATGTGCCCGGCACGGAGGGGCCACGCTGAGACCAGACGGGGGTCTGTGACTCAGAAGCCCACACTCTTTCTCCCACCACCCCATGCCGTCTGGGGGTTGTCTAGAACGGAGTCCTTTGCTTCCCCTAAGTTATAAAGATTTGTTCATGAGGCCTAGACCCCGGGGTGGGCCTCACCTGGATGGCATTGGATGAGAGCCTAGAGTGGTGCTATCCAATGATAATACGATGCTAGCCACACATCATTTTATTTTTTTAAAATATGTTTTTATTGATTTTAGAGCGGGGGGGGGGGGGGAGAGAAACATCAATTGGCTGCCTCTCGTACAGACCCTGACCAGGGACTGAACCCACAACCCGGGCATGTGCCCAGACTGGGAATTGAACTGGCAACTTTTTGGTGCACAGGACAATGCTCAACCAACTGAGCCACACCGGCCAGGGCCGCGTGTAATTTTAAATGGTCTGGTAATCACATTAAAAAGTCATTTAGCTGCCCTGGCTGGGTAGCTCAGTTGTGTCCCCCCCCGCCCCAAAATCAATTACAAAAAATCATTTAATCCAGCACGTCCCAACTACTATCATTTCAATATGTAATCAATATAAAAAGCCATTGAGATGCTTTGTTTTTTTGTATGAGGTGTTGGCAGTCTGGGGTGTGTTTTACCTTTACAGCTGTTTTCAGTTTGGATTGGCCCCGTTTCAGGTGCTTGAAGGCACGTGGGGCTGGTGGCTGTTCTCGCTGGACAGTGCAGGCCTAGGTCTCGGGTTCTGCTCTGCAGATTCTGGACTGGATCAGTTCCTCAGACTATAGAGTGTTTGCTCTTAACTTCTCCCTACAGACCTCTCTGGAAAGCTGCCTGTTCTGGCCAGTTTTGTGGTTCAGATGACCTACAGGTTTATCAAATTTGCTTCCTTCCTTGCCCATCTGCCGGGCATATGCAGTCATCCACAGGAGCCACATTCCCGTCTCGCCCTCTGGCAGGATTCCAGCGTGTCCTGTTGC